GGGATACGTTTTTGAAATTTATTTAGCGACGGCAAACATCAAATTCTCAACTAAGAAAAGTAAAAAGTCCCAATGTCGCTGGCGAAGTGGGGCCCATCCTTATTCGCTCGTCAGTTTCTTCGAAGTCTTGTTCTTGTTTTTCGGTTTTGGTAGCATGCCTCCAGCGCATTCGTTATGAACGCTGACGATGGTCGGTGCCAAGAACTTCTTCTTTGATCGAGGTTGCGCACCTACGCTGTCGGTTTCTTCTGAGATCTTGGTTTGGGCCTCACTTTTGGCAGCATGCTCTCAGCACATCCCTTGGGAGTGTTGATGATAGGCGGTGACATGACCTCCTCTTTCGCACCGGGCTGGAATAGCTTACATGTAGCTTATATATGATTCTATTGATGTCTGCTCACCTACAGTAGCAAAAGAAAACAACCTGTATGGATATGCCGAAATAAAACACAGCAGTGAACTCCACCAAATCAAGCTTATCGTGAAAAAAGCTCATTATATACATCATTATATCCTCCACACTATCCGTCTCACATTGCATCCGACTCCTTCCCTTCTCCATATCTCTGCCTGCTACGCTTCAGCATTAAGCTAAAACGAACCAAGGATGATCAGATTTTCAGGGGTTTGTTTTCGCCGAAAAATAATTTAAAAAAAAACATTTTAAAAATGGACTTTTGGTGTTTCCATTAAAAAAACAGTTTTTGAAACGAAGACGTTCTTGAAAAAGTATTTTAACATTTCAAAATTTAAAAGAAATACTTTTTTGAATGTGCTTTAAAAAAATTGTTTTAGAAAAAGTAGTTTGTTTCTTTAAAAAAAAAAATACTTTGAACGAGTTTCATTTTTTTTTTTTGGCATTGTTAGGGTATGTACTTCAGTAGTATTGACAAATATTACAATATTTAATATTAAATATCCAAATATCCAGAGCTTCCCGGGCGCAGCACGGCATTAGTGAGAAAAGGAGGATTCTTCTAAAGAAATAAGCGATACAAATTTGAAAAGTTTATTCGTGACTGAAGATTAATTCGGCAGCCTTAGTGAATTGATGGCGTACAAAGTTCGAGCTCGGAAAGTTTTCTAGAATTTTTTTTCCTCCGGGCCCAACAGAGATAATCAGTATCGTCTCTGGTTGTCGATGAGACATCAACCCTCTTAGGCGCACTCCCAACAGGAAATTCAGATCACCTCTAGAGGAATATCCATAATCCAGTACTAATGTACTGGTCTTGCGAAAGTGCACTCCGCAGAACTAGTACTGCCCACAGAACATGTTAAGTTCGTAATGCGAACTTAATTTATAGCATCACAGTTTATTAACGGACCAGATACTGTTCAGGCGGAAGAAATCAAATAGGGTCACCGGTGAGTCTGGTCTCTTTTAGGTCCGTGCCCAAAACATGGGACAGATATTAGAAATACCCAAATTAAGGACAGAAAAAACAAACGAAATAAATAAAAGCGGAGTATTGTAGCGGCGGAGCATTGTAGAGAGAAAATAATACAGTTTAAAAGTGTATTATAAAATATGCTATACCGCCTCATTTTCATAATAACCACTTCAAGCCGCGGCAGCTGGTCTTTTCATTCTACGACCACATTGGGTAGATCTCGTCCCTGTCGTACGCTGTGTTGCGCGCTCTTGGCGGCTTCCTCGATGTGCTTGGCCCTGCTGCTGGCTCTGTGCTCTACCCTGTTGTCGCCGTTGTCATCCTTGGCGGGTTAGTTGAACTGGTACAGGGAGCACAACAGCTCCCTGTTGCGGTGCCACAGTTCTTCGGTTGGTGATGGCCCTGCTTCGGTTAGCGCCCTGTCCATCGTTTGTCGTTTGGCTACTGGCTCGGGGTCTCTCAACCATTATCCAAGCCTCCCCTGCGGGAGTGTCTTCATCTGTCTTCTGGCCGGGTTAAATGAGTTGAAGCCTCATTTAGAACCATATCCTGGTCAGACGGCTGCCCATTATCATCGTGTTGGTCGTCATCGCGGTACGAGTCGATTCCAAAGTCCCAATACTGGGACTCCGACTCATACAGGTAGCTGGCTTCAGGTGATGTTCCGTCGTTCAAGGTGTTGAAGGGAAGGTGAAGGTCGGTCGAGGAAAGACGTACGAAGTTGTAGCTTGCACAAGAGTTGGTAGGAGGGCGCTTATTACGAAGTGATCCTAAATACGGTTTGGCTAAGCAAACAATTGCACAGTCCCGGACAAGATCGCATTTTGTACAATCGATGGGAAGTTCTATCGTTGAAGATGCGTACAGAATTAATCACACCCCTCATCTTCGTGCGATATTAATGAATCTCGATTGTAACACCCTCCACGTACGAGTTGGGTTCATGAGACTATGCCCTTCCACTTCAACCTTTATAAATATCCCAATTTTTAATTCGCCACAGGTGTAGTGATCCTCCGTGAACCAAGGTGGGTAATGTTTAGTTATCATACCAAGCATAGCTTACAGACTACTAGAGATAGCCAGCCTTTTAGCGCACACAGCCGATTCTTCACAAATCACTCACATTGCAATGGAAAATGTCTACAAGACACAAACGGCGACGCTGTGGTATGAGATTCACAGTTGATCGATTCCCTCAATTACCAATCCAAAGCAAAATCCATACTTCTGCCATGCTATTTAGGCCGTAAAATCTATTTACGAAATCGAAGTGAGTCTAGAACGTGATCCTATGTGACTCGATCGATACAACTTCGAACGACGTACACGTTTCCTCTATAAATCGCTTTTGAACCAAACGCACAAAGGTTTTCTATTGAATGATATCATGTATGGAGGATTTTGTTGGACGAACTTAGGTTTTTTGCTTTGCCCATATTTGAGCACGTCCTGTCTCAAAAAAAGGACCAGATTCAACAGGACCCAAAGCGGACCAGGCCCACCGGCGACCCGAAAAAAGTCTATCGATCAGGCTTGTAGCATATTTTGATCATAATACGTTACATCCCTATGGATATTATCCAGCAACCCAATCTATAATAGATAGCTAGAGTTCTGTTGGTCTCGTGCAATTTCTCTCACTTCGCAACACTTCGTGTGCTTTGCAAATACTGAAGTCTGAGCTCCTCCTGAGCCAGGCAAGCCCATGGTGAGGCGCTTCAGCTAGTTTCGCTGGCTTGTAGAACGAAATGAAGAGGATGAACTCCAATTTGGATCGATAGGGGGATTCCTATGTTGTTTTATGCCACCCATTGCACAAAGTTGTTTTATGCACAGGGAGTTGGCTTGCAGTGGTGGATCTCTCCGTCGCCGAGTCACTGATGTTTTACAATTTTCGCTAAGTAAGGGTGGAATTGATTTTCAGGTGCAGTTATTAAAGGATCGTAGCCTGTTCATCAAGTGCAGTGCTTATCTATAGTGACTCCTAATGTGTAAGCTAGTACTTATACAGCTCCATAGTGCCTGGGGTGGTATCGTCACCACACTAAATTTTGACACAAAATAGGGCAGTATTACCTTTCAGCAACACTTTAACAAAAGGAACCAGTTTCAGCAAAAAACAATAATTACTTCCTGTATATACTACTAGTTT